ATATCGGAAAAATTCTCATTTAGCCCCCTGGCCAATGAAAGACCAGGTGGATCCTCGTGAAAAACAGGGCCACGCCTGTCAACTTCGGGAGACCTTAGAAAAGAGGCCAACTGGGAGGGGGCTCGAATACATCTGCATCCGGGAATTAAGACGTATCGAGCTCTAACAATTGCACCCAACCGAATTACATTACCGTACGCTTCCATACTTCCTAAAAAGAGGGAACATTTTTTAATTTCAACTATTCCGGTGATTCATACCAGCCATACGAACCCGTTTGGAATCCTCAAAGGAGTCCAGCCGGGAGGAAAAGCCAGGGGGGACAAGGAATTGGTTGCAGTTTCAGGGAACGCGGGTAATCAGAAAGAGGCAGCCAGGTAATGCGTTCAGAAAGCAAGTAATAAAATATCAGGCTGGTACCGTGTTAAAGGAGAAGAAATGTGCCGTGTAGAAAAATGGTCGAGATAAAGGGACGGGCGAAGACAAAGAGAAACTGAAAAGGAACAGAAGAGATGGAGACGGAAGAAAAGGGAGAGAGAGAAAACCTTGGCCCACAGGCCTACTGCAGCGCTGCAGCTTGCTTGCACTCTGGCTCTCTACCACTCTACACCATTCATGTGGGAAACACCCTAGTATCCACCGTGGGGTTGGGCCAACAACCGCTGGAAAAATTTCTCTTTCGATGCACTGCAACGGCCCCGCCCCGAACACCGCCAAAGGGGAAGAAAAGTTTCAGTGGAACGATCCTCGATGGCCAGACACGTACAACTGCAATGTCTGCCGAAAAGCCGGGGCCCTCTCGTGGAAATTCTTCCATGGAAAAATCGACGATCCCCCACTTCGCGAATGTATTTCAAACCTAATTCTGGTTTTAATTCAGGAAGTAACGGCTGTTTATTACTTACTCGTGAATAAATCAACACTGACGCTAAATATTGATAACGTCGCGGCTTCGCCCACTCTCATAAATAAAAACTTCGAGAATCTGAAGTAATAATTGATGTATCAGTTTTTGGTGATCAGTCTCTACTATTTCAGAAAACTATTGCTGCCTGGAGAAACAGTAGAGCACACGGATAGGCAGAATTCAATATAATAGTTTCGACAGTTTTTCGAAAATATCTCAAAAACTAAAACCGAGCGGCGGTTATATGTATAGGAAAAAGTTGTTCAAAATATTGATTTCTACAACATATTTAAAAATCATCAAAATCGGAGGTGCCGTGTATAAAATAATTACCTTCTCCCCTGGATCTAGATTTGCGCCTTTAGAGGTTAATTAGAACAAAATCCTGAATTATGTTTTTAATCATTTCTATGGGCGACCTTTGTAAGCAAAAATCAAGTCGATATCTCATCGGGCCTAAGAGATATTGACGAATCCGTGTAAATAGATTTTAACCCTTTTTACACTCTTAAGAGTCGAATTTCTAAAAATTTCTTCTTAGTGGGTGCTTACGTCATGAGAGAAATACACTACCCGAATTTCATGTTTCTAGGTTCAGAGATTTGGACTGGAACACATTTGGCAATCAGGGCACTTGTCTTTATACACACACATTATTCTTCATCGTCCAGTAAAAAACGTAATGGCGTATGACGAACAACATTTTGGCGGGCTGTCAAAATGGCCGCCAGAGGGCCAACGCGGGTGTAAGATAAATACTTCTCCCACTATTTTTTTCGATTCTATTAAGGTTATTTACCGTTCTTTTTAAGTTATTTTGTTATTGAATATATAACAAGAGAAACTATTACCTTTTCGCGTTTGTTATAACAGAGAGGATCCATGATGCGTGCGGTACGAATGGTTACGTATACATTTATTGACACTGAGATTGGCCACATGACTCTGATCTCCTACGGTTCGCGATCTTGCAAGCCTAACCTAGTCCGTACGCTCACTTCTTTAACCTCGCACGATCAAATAGGTTGATAATATTCTGTACGTTTGAATTTCTTCCACCGATCACACGAATAAATAGTAGGAACGACGCTGACCGGGAGGAGGATCGATAAATGTATCGATTTTTCCTTACACCAGCGACATCTCAATCGTTTTGGAGGGAATGTGTTACGTTCGAGTGTTACTAAATTTTTGAGAATCGATAAATCTGCAATTCCTTCTTATCTTGTCAAAATAGTACCATAAAAATGATAGATTTATTATAATGGATTTATTATATTTAATTTTTAAACGCGTTTGAATTCCCCTCCTGTCGCGTGAAGTTGTTCCCCATAAATCACGGCTATCGATATTAAAAAAAAAATCAACTTCGATTCGACAAGTTCCAACCGTGAAAATTGAAACGCTTCGATACTTAACACTAGAACTATCGACGTAATTTCTAAGTTGAAAATAATACAGAAAATTAAATAAATATATGTGAAACATAATTTAAAATATATATCCATTTTTTATCTCGACAATAGCCAACATACATTCCAGTAAAAATACCTTGGTAAAATTTTTTAATTTAAAAAAAGAAACTAGAAAGCAGTAATTTTTACCCCTTGGTAGTTCTAGTGTTAAAGCGCGTTAGTTTCAATAAAAATCATCCCTAACGATCTATAGCATCGTACGATTAATTTTCATATAGGTAAATCATACGTAAGCAGGAATTTTCGTACCGTCACTTTTTCAATTGATTTATATTCACAGATACATGCGTAGTGAACTTGATCCCGTTCTTGGTCGTCGCTGGTCAAGAACATGTGCCAAAGAAGCAGAAGAAACAGCGAAAGTGTTAATTCTAATATTTACCTCCTAATGAGTCCGTTCGAAACAGGAAAATCGGCTGCATCCTAGGGATTTCTGGTGAACGTAGAAATTCATGAAACAGCGGGAGTAAAGAACGTGGTAATGTGTATGGAAGTTGTATATCCTATATCTATCGGGCACCGTTCGTTTGTACGTCAGGTCGCCGCTCCCTGAGAGATCACTGCCCTCACGCACACCCGGTGTCTTTTCTCGTTCCTTTGGCCGATCGACGTCGGGTGTCCCTCTGCCCCGACGACGGGGGCCAGGGACGTATCGCGAAATCGACGAGCCCGTTGCGAACAACCCGCCGCACCGCGCGAAACGTCTTAATCTCGAGCCGTTTAATAAATACACTTCGTTGCTATTACACAGTTTATTATTCATTGCTGTGTCGAGGAACAATAGAAGGTGGACAGGAAGTGAGAAAGAAGTGAAATTTAGCGTGATAGCGATGGGACTGATGCAAGGATCTTTAATCAATGAGAATAATTATTGAGATAGCTACCATTGCTATCAGAACCGTGCAACCAAGAAATATGAATATACTGTTTGACCAGCACCTACCAAGAGAATATTTAATAAAAATCTGTCTATACAGTGTTGACGAATAATGTTTCCTTATAAATGTTAGGTTCGTGGAGATATCGTTCCCATCGCTACTCTCTAACTTCCCTCCCTCGAATCCGAATTTCAAGACTATCGAGCTGTCTCGAATGATCCGACGATGAACGAACACCAAACGTAACGATCACTCGCGAACTTCCTTCGTTGAACGTGTGGAAAAACGATTTCGAAAAATCAACGTGTATTTCGAACGGTACACGGTGAACATTTATCGTGGACAGTTGATTTGTGTTTTGACGCAGTGCACTATCTTCTACGCGAGTTAAATTCGTACGGTAATTGTATTTGCAGCACGCGCACTGTATCTCACATGAGGTGCTTGTTCTGATGCGTGCCCTCGCGAATTCGCGGCACACGGACTGCTACTTCCCGATTGCAAAAACCCCTTCTTTCCGCGCACAGAAAGAATGAGGGATCTAGAAACCCTACCCCCCGGGGGCACGCATATGTGTATGCGAGCTGCACGTCCAGCGCACACCACGATAAACAGAACACGTATGTACAAAGGGGAAACGACGTGCAGGAGCCGGCAACCAGACAACCATTCCATTCTCTTGCTAGAACGCGTGGCAACTAGTCGAACAAGCGCAAAGTCGCCATCTATACCGCAATTCCGGCATTATCATTCTCGCAAATTGACCGACGAATACAATCGCGTTCCTGGTTCAAAGGGAACTGCGCATGCGCCATTGGTATTCCCAAGGTATCGTGTATTTTCAACATTCTGTATACTTTTATGTAACAGGAATTAAGGTAAATATAATTGGGATCATTTAGGAATGATGTAATAATTGAAAAATTGAATACAACGCAAGTGTGAAATTGTGAAGTTAAATATAGAATTCAAAATACCGGGTTAACCCGCGCTTTCATTCGAGCTGACCAATCACGAGCATCGAAGGCTCTGATTGGTCGAGCGAGTTATAAAGCAAAATGGTCGCTTCTAACGGCTCGATTGAAGTTGGTGAGAAATTTTTCTTTAATATATAATTTATTAATACCAATTTGTTGATTTTCGAAGAATTTATTTAATTAAGCATTTTTTACCGACTTTGTATTTTCATAAATAACGACGCTGCAAATCTATCGTTCTCACCAGTATGTCGCACTTTAGCTGGACAGTACATAACTTTGTTCGATGATAAAAAAATCAGGATCGTTCTTTTTGGGGTAACTGTCTAATACAATTAATTTATTAACATCGACACCTTTGTGTTTTAGCAGAGGATAGCGGAAATTGTAATACGACGATTGATCGAAGAAAGAAAAAACATTTCGTCCGTTTTGGATTTCCCTTAATCTTTGTTATTTTTATTGGTATGTAATACGTATAATAATATATATTTATATATATTATATTCGTCAATATCGAATATATTAATATCTTATCAGTTTTCTCTTTCCATAAATTAAATAAATAACTCTTGACTGTGACATTATTAAACAAAATATTTTACAAAAGTAAATAGCTGTAGATTGCCAGGTGTTCAGTGAAGGGTGAGATAGATGTTACTATATCGTCTATTCAAAAGTAACTAGACATCCGAAGCGTTTTGTCCCGTATAGGTGATCTTTGGCGAATTCATGATTTCTCTTACTTTTCTTCATCTTTCCAGATATCAAAGTATATATATGCATTTTCTTCAAACATACGCGATCACAATTAAATCTATCTAAAGAGGAGACAGAAAAAAGCACATATAAAAAAAAAAAGGTATCTATAAAGAATACAATATAATTCAAGATGATCGTGTTATTTGGCCAAAATTCTAGTTGCCAAGCCTTTTCTTCATATCCAGAGGCGTAATTAATCTTTCTTTGCATCCATAAGTCTGTTTGATACATCCTCCCTCTGAAAAAAATGCACTAAAATGTCTGATATCTAAAGAAGCCAAAGGGGGACATTCCTGACACCGTCAAGTTTTTCTATCTTTGAAGAATAAATAAATTTTACATGATTATCGCCAATTTCACACAATACACGCACCGTTTGATCGACCGTCCCTGTGTTTGTCATTCAGTGTTTAGTCGCTTTTCAATACCGTACGATAAAGTACATTGTTTCTTTCATTTTATACTATGCTGGACTGAGGTATCGAGAGGCAAGATGGTCGTTTGCTCTAGGCATGGCGTAAGGTTACAAGTGAGAGCTGTGAGGCTGCTGTTCATAAAACAGCACGTAGGCTTCGCTGGAAACGACCGATCGCGCTGGAACTACGGACACCCGGCTGTCATTGTACTCGTGCCATTCTCCTGAGTAGGGATGCTTGCAATAAGCCGTGTAATGGCCGGAGTACGTCGTACCCGAATGATTTGCAACACCGTACAAATTATATGTACAGCCCGGAACTCGGGGAGCGGCAAAGGCACTGAGATCCAAACCCGTCAATGGAAAGTCTACCATTACATTTAGCTTGCCGCGATACCGTTCCATCGGTGAGAAACGTTTTAAATCTGAATTGTCATCGTCAAGGGAAATTCTGTACAGTTATTATGAGTAAAAAGTTCATTTCATAGATATTCTTGCTTTTGAAAAGGATACGAATAACGAGAATCTTCGGAAACTTTTGTATGCTGAAGCTTTTGGTACACTTCCTCCTCATCTGGCACTTGGAACAGGTTGGCTTTTCATCGCCGTCCAGGACTTCTTCTCGCGTGAAATGTTCTAAACACTGACTTAACTTGACCGTGCCATTTCTAGCCGGTATCGGTAAACTCAAGTCCCAGAAAGGGTCCAACGTTACCGACACATGGTCACAGGAGGTGCAGCGCAATGAAGACCGTAATTGACCAACAAATACGTCCACTACCATACTGTCTTCACTGCGGAGGTAACGTTTCCAACTTTCTACAGCTTTCTGGCTGTCCCTGTTTGAAAGAAAATTGTATTAATTATAGGCAACAAATTAAATGGTTAGTATTTAAATCCATTTTCGGTCAGTATAAAAATACTAGACGGTTAGGTTAGGTTAGTACATAAATGCCCCCAGGGGGATGACCGGGCGGGCCGCAGGCGACATTGCACGCGGACCCGGCGGTAATGTGGTTCCTCGGTCTATCTCGCGCGGGCGGGCGGGGGGCACAGCTCAACCTCCCCGCAGCCCGCAAGGAAGATCGAAGCGGGGACTGCAGGCGTCCCGGGTCGGGGGCCCGGGGCGTCATTGCACGCAGTCCCCCGGGATGGAACCGACACCGGGTGCGGTCCTCGGTGTCGGCAGTAGTGGGAGTCCGGTCTAGGACCCCCCGGTGATGGGCGTCTTTGGCGCGCCGCGGGGGAGGTCTGGTGTTATATTTCCCAGAGCCTCCCCTCAACGCCAGAGGAGGCCGCCGTGGGGTTTTAGTTGGTAGGAATCCAACACTACTCCGCCACCTCCCCCCAGGGGGTGGACCAAAGGATTTAAATGCAAGCCTTAATTATAATGTTCTCAAGGGACTGGAAGTATAGATAGATACCAATGACGGTCTACTCACGTGAACATCTCAGGAATATCCGTGTGTATTGGCTGTGGCTTCACCGTCACCCTGTTCACATCCTCGTGCAGTCCTTCCAGCAAGTATCTGAGAAACTCTTGAGCGTCTTGTTGGCTGTATCCCATGAAACGTGGCGCGAATCTCTGGATCTGAGACTTGAGCGCCGTCGTGTTCACCACGTGGTCACCGCCCACCTCCCACAACTCGTGGATCACCTGGCTGAACGCTTTGATGAGGGCGCCCTTCATGCTGGACGTAGTGGTATTTATGTCCGCCATGTGCTGCTCGTTCAGTAAGTATTCCAGCAGCGGTCTCGTATTGCTCAGGCATTGGATCACGCTGTTCATAAAACACTGTAACAACAAATGACTATAAACAAGTGTTTTACACTCTACTTGGCTATCTTTTCTCGCCAAACTAAGCGACGATACCGTAGGTATCATTAGGTAGAATAGATTCTAAATTCAAATGGGAATTTTACATATTTCAGTGACTCCAATGAATCGAAGGAAATCCTGCGAGCCTTCTAAATCCTTTTCTACGAGTCTTAACCGCTTAAGGCTGAAGTACATATATATGTAAACAGGAAACATACAAATGAGGGGAAAGTTTATAAGAAAAATGCGAGGAACCTGAATGTGAGAAAGTGACGAGGGGGCAAGTCGCAATTTGTAGCCAGCTTCTTGCAATCTCTACAGTACCGTTTCCTAGTATATCCGTAGGTATATTTATTAATAACTATGACTCACTGTATTTCCAATATTCCGTAATCCGTTTAGTCCACATCGTTCATCGCGATGCGCTTGCAGCCGATTACGCGCTGATTTGTTTGTCGGGCTTCCTTCCTATAAATACAGATCAACGTTATTTTCGTTTCTTAACGTTCAAACAATTTTTCAGGATAACTAGATACTCTACAGGGATTGAAAACTGTCGAATACCGTCGCGTTCTCTGTTCTAAAGCACGACAAAAACGTTACTTCTTCAGTGGTGGCGGTCTTATAGCTTGCGGTACGAACAGCATCACACACCACGGATGTAATGGTACACACATGGGGAAACACCACGATTTCGATATAACGGGGGGGATATATAATGATACATAGACGGGTCGGTTAGTCATAAGATTATACGACACTGGGTATTAGTTGTAACGTCGATGGTAAAGAAAAAGAAATTCCACACAGTACGTACACTTGTCGTTGCGTTCGACCTCTGCGTATGGATCGTTCCGAACAGAAAGTACGCCCAACGTAATATATTGAGAAAAGGGAAGACAGTGTAAATATCAAAGGCATCGAGCAGTCGAGAAAAGGAAGCTGTGTTTAACGTCAACGTCATTGCTTGTGTACGATGGGACGCGCGTATCTCTCTTTTCTTAATTCTTACTTCATTCTCCTAAATCACTCACCTTCACGCAACTGGCCGGAGGCTGTAGAGTTACGCGCGCGGATACGACCGATTCACTGAACCGAACGGAATAAACAGTGGAGCAAATGCGTTTCGGAGACGTCAGAGGTGCCGCGACGCCCAGCAAGAACGCGTACGCGAATAGAAGAACTATCACTATCCACACGCACCACAACCCCCAGCATATCACTTGAGTATAAGCCAGTTTACACGGATGGAACTTTCGACAAACACACTCGGTGTCCTCGTTAAATTCTCCTCGACGTATCAGGGTTTTTGTCTGGAAACGAGGATGCGGACCCCATGCGAGCGAAGGAAAGTTTGAAGAGGCCAAGAGTAACCCCTTCTGTGTATTCGAAGATGTTCCACTCGGATGTTCTTCCCCCACCTCTTGGTCCAGCAGCGTGCTAAACTGGCACTCTACTCGTCTCGCTACGGTCGACAGGAGATGCTCAATCAATCCACGGAGGTACGCGCGATGGAAGAGATCGTGGATCCACCGACGCGGAAATGGTGTCGTCTACCCACACGCCAGCAGCGTTTTACCTATGCTGGTGATAACGAGGATAGTATATGCATAGAGTGCGTAGTAACGCGCTGTCACGAGGTACCGTTAGGTTATAAGAGATCCGTTGACCGCGCTTCTCTCTTTCCCCTGCTCGGACAGCTCTGATCTATTAATAAAAGGCAACGCTGCGACTGAACCGATCGTGCAGTTTCGTTTCGTAACACGCGACAAACGTAACTCTGCTAATCTAACGTCTTTCTCACCTATTCTACTCTATCCAGCCATTGGTTACGAGTCATTGAACCTTTCAGAGATGGTAACAACCAATGTCCCTATGTAATAAGCATGTACGGTCAGGTGCAACTTAGGGTTCTCTTAGTTGGAAGAAGGTATCCTAATGCTTGGAAGATGGGATCTACGCTTACTCTAAACCAAGAGAATCCTGAGTGGACACAGAAGACAACTGCAGCGCCACCGAATGACTTATTAATAACAGAACGTGTCCCAAGAGCGAAAGAAAAAATGCAATATATTTTAAGCGCCAAAGACGTTGGGCTGTCTATGAAATATTTTTCTGAAATACAATTTTAAGGATGATATCCGAAGATGACTGCGACAACGTTGGAACACTGATCTAACGAAATTCGATCCACCTACATGCCTGCAGTACTGTGCGGTTTATACTTTCCCGTCTATCTAGCTTGGGTGAGTGGAATTCGTGCTACCGTATTAAGAGAGAAACGACGCCCGATTAATTCTTCCTAACGTAATAACGTGTATGTTATTAGGGAAACTCACAAACTGATCGGCGACCCCGCGGTAGAGATTTTGATGCGCCGAGGACGGTGCAGTAGGCGAGGAGGTCAGATTACTGGCAGTGTTCGCGCTTCCCGAGAAATGACCGTCCGGTCTTCTCGAGGTAGAAGGCACGGATGGGTCCTCTCCATAGGTACCAGAAGGTCTTCCCGCCACACCGTTCTGCAATACCGGGGGCGTGGTACCGCCCCCGAAGCCGGTCTGATCAATATCGTAACTGGTAGACGCGTTTCGTTGCTGCTGCTGCTGCTGATGATGATCCCCGCCGTCCTCTAGAATCTCTGGATCCCCTGCTGTACGACCACCCTGAAGGAACGACGCTGTCGCGTCGATAGAAGCGGCGGCCCCGTCTATGCCCCGTATTACCTCGCTTTCCGCCTCGATCTCGACGTCGTCCACGACTTTGTCCTGGCCGTTGTTGTTAATCAGCAATTCGGTGGCGTTATTCGTATTAGTAGCAAGGTTAGTGAGCAGGTCGAGTTTAACACCAATGAAATCAGCACCGCCAGCACCACCGGGGACAGGCGACAATAGGTTACGCTTAGCGGGTGAGACCTCGTCGGTTCGATGAAGCAGACCAACGCGTTGGTGGTGATGGCGGTTGTTCAGGTTGCTGTCGCCGTCCTCGTCATCGTCGTCGTCGTTATCGTTGTTGTTAATCCCATAGCCGCAGGCATCCTCGACGTTGCTGTTACTCCCATTCCCGTTGTTGTTGTGCTGATCGTCGTCGGTATTGTCCTCGTCATCGTCGTCGTCGTCGTCATTGTCCTCGTCGTCGTCCTCGTCTATGTCGCGGACGCTGCCGCGCTCGTCGATCGTTACCTCGCCAGGCGACGCGGCACTGTCCGCGCGAACATGCCCGCTGGTGAGCACCGTGCTGCTGGACAGTGGCTTTCTCTTCGACCTGGACCAGAGTGTACCGCCTGTGGCGGCGGAAGACGACGAAGAGGACGAGGAGAGCGAGGAATCCGGCCGATCTCGGACGCTGCGCTCGATTTCACGCTCGTCACCGCCGAACAACTCGGTCAACGAGGAACCGGTAGAATGATGCCTCCACTGATGATGATGGGAGCCAGCGGTATTGCTGCTCGTTTGACGAATGGTTGGGATGTAACCGGCCGGTGAATACCTGCTGAGATCCGATCTGCTAACCGATGTATCGTGCCTGGTAGCGGACGACGACGACAATTCCTGTACTCTGTCCCTCGAGGAGCCGGTTATCGGGATGCTCGACGAGGACGACGACGTGGACAAGCCGTATCTACCGCCGCTGCTGCTGGTGCCGTTCACTGTCACATTCGTACCCGTGTTACCGCTGCCCGTATTGCTGTACGCCGACGACGAAACTGACCTGTAAAATTCGTCCAATGTGAATATTGCGAACATCATTTTGTTCGGCTGGGCCAACGGCCAAGGGCTACTCCTTCCTCCTCTTATTTCTTCAAGTTATGCAACCGCTCGCGAGCATATAAACATACGCACGCGCAAGCTGATATATCTAGATGAGTTAAGCGACATCTGAGCATCTGTGTTAGTAATACGAGTAGTTGCAGATGAAACCGCAGAAGACATTTCTTAACGAGATGGAATCTTTACCGGATCAATCCTGATCCTCTAAAATCTGATGTTGTATTTTTAAAAATATTCCAATGAAATTGACTCGAGCTTCTTTCAAAACAGTCCACCCTCTACTGGGATGACCCAGTTCCGAGGAAAAAGTAGGAAGAACTAGACGTTTGGTTTAAAAATAATTTTCTGCGAAACTAATACTTTTGTATATTCTCTGGCTGGCTGACTTGCCATCTCGTACCGACTGCGGATTCAGAAGAAAGAATCATCGTTAAGAACTTCATACGCGGTCGCAGTCGGTATTTCATCAAGATGATCTTCATGATTTTCTACCGACACACCATTCCTGTATGGCGGCTTTCAAGAGGACAGATACACGCACAAGCGCTGGATAGACGGGATTCCAGGGAGAAAGTAACTCCTCGCCGTGACACAAAGGACATTTCACCGAGGTCAAGGTCTCCCGATGCTCGATACAAATTTAATAGCGATCGATTTCTGTACTATTTTATACACGAATCGCTTGCAAGAAGAAATCGTAGCTTGGCTATCGATTCAGGCACAAATTGTAGAGGATGATAAGTGAAGATGACTAGAAAAACTCTACAGTCCATTTATATTCATCATCTTCTGCGATTTGACCTTAGGTCAAGTAGCGACCTCTTCTTGTCAGAAGTTAATGGCACAACTATTCATACTATTTTGTAAAAAAAAAAAAAGAAATGGAAAACGCTAGCTCGACCCAAATGTGACGAATGCGTAGACAAGAATCCCGTGTAACTAGTTCTCGGGTTACCAGTTCGGTTCACTATGACTGGGCACGACCCATTTGCCGCCGACCTCGACCTTTGCTGTCAGGGTAACGTCAGTCACCTAGGCCATAGAAACAGGGACTTACGCGTCCGTAATTGGATCATTGTGACACGGACAAAAGTAATTGGCGCTTTGTGAAGGGTGTCGTCGAGTACGCACACAGGGGTTACCTGTTGCCCGCCACGGATATTTATAACGCGAACAACCAGGGGGCAGCATGCGAACATCTTGTAACCATTATACGGTCGCCTCGTGTTCACCGAGAAATGCAATTGGCACGAGAACGATCCCTGGCTAGACGACAAAGGGAAAAGAAGGAGACCCGTTTGCGGCCACGTGGCTCGTCCAACCGCCGCGCCGTTCTGCCTTTCAATAACAACAATCGGCTTCGCCTGAACGCGTTACCGACCGAGCTATAATTAGCGATTTCAAAGAATTGGTGAACGAGCAAGCTGTTCGTGGCATTTTAAGAATTCCATTTGCGCCATGAACCGGGTATTCGTCAAAGGCACACGTTATATGTACAACCACGTGCAACTTAAGCTTCTCTTAACCCATTATTTACCGACGGGACTTATAAGTCCCGTCAGTTTTCTCATGGTACTGTATTAACCCTTTTGCTGCCACGCGAATTTTTGAACTTGCACCAGTGGGCCAGAGATTTCATATTAAAAATTTTATAATGGCAAAAATAACAGTACAAAAATAAAAAGACAAGCGCCGGTCCCATGGGACCAACGTGGCAGCGAAAGGGTTAACTAAAAGAAGCTTAAGCAAAGTGATTTTGATGACAATACAGGTAACAATGATTGCATCTAATAAATAATGTCAGTATACAAGGGGCAAAGAGCTGAGGAAATTTTTCATAGGCATTTTAGATGATGGTTGGTCACATTCCAAGAAGCCGGGCAGAGCGTAAACGAGATGGTAAGAAGATTAGAAGAGATACTATGTGACACTTATCAGGGTATCACTGAGAGCTCTCGATCTCGATCACCGACCCCCCACCGCGCCTTAAAACCCTTTTCTCAGGGATGCTCACCTTGCGGGTGAGCAGCGAGACCGGCTGTACTCCGACATGTAGTTCCTGCGGATGCTCGTGCCCGTCATTGTCGACGAGTAGAAACTGTAGGGCCGATCGAGTATCAACAATTTAATATTTCGTTCGTTTCGGTTCAACGCGCATGACGGAGGAGCCTGGGATCGGCAGCACGTTAAGGGCGGCATTTTTCGATCTTCTTATCGTCTACCAAATGATTTTCAATTTAACGAATAGACCCATTTTTCATAGCCTATTCAAGGGACAGAGACACTGAGTGGAAGAACCCTGGACATCAAAGATCCTCTGAACTAGAGAACGAGCCATGATACCATGTATCTATTCCACCTACTATACCTACGATTTGATCACATTTCGCAATACTTCCTGGCGTGTACGCAACTCTGTCTCAGAATATACCGCATTGTTCCAAATTCGGTCGAGACTCTATTCCATAGAGCAGGCAAGCCACCGCAATGCTTTTAAGTGACATCTGTTAACGCGAAACTGAAACGCGTATCCGTAAGACTTGTATAGGTACAGTATCGAGCAAAGTAGACTTCCCTAGGGGAAAATGGTATTAGAAGGGAAGCAGGAAGTCTTAGAATCTCAAAATACAGGGTGATTCTCTCGCTAGTTTACTCGAAGGAAATACCGCCACACCAGTATGAATGTATCCAAGCCCTTTTCTCGACGGGGGTGTATACTATAGCTGTGTCCGTGAAAAGGTTTCGATGACAGAAAAGGGCTACGGTCCATTCATACTGGTGTGGCGGCATTTCCTTTAAGTAAACTAGCGAGAAAATCACCTTGTACATGGGACCCTCTCCTCTACATTCTCATTTCCTTCCAGAGCCTCCTATGGGGAGAAATGGAAGCTCGAGGTGGGGGCGTTGCCATTTTTCTTAGGAATCCTACCATGCTCGGTGCTGTAGTGTCGGAAGGAACGCCTGAACGCACTTGCCGATCCCTGGAATCCGATAGGAAACCCCGATGAGATCAGGGGGGATAAGAAAACTCACCTGCCAGACGGGCAGTAGGATCGCCTGTACTCGGACGTGTAGTTCGAACGGTAGCCCGAACTGCCCGACGAAGAGTAGAAGTTTGTGGGTCGATCTAGGATCGACGAGGAACCAGTAGATCGGTAGGTGTTCAGCTTTGAGGTGGAGCTGTTGATAGCGGAGCTGCTGGTGCCGCTGCTACCGCTGGAACATCGTCTGCTAGGAGAATGCGGTGCCATTGGACTGGTGCTGTACGAGACTGCTACGGCGCCCGCCTGGCCCCCACGGTGATACGACATTGCACCCGGGTCACCAGTCTCTCAATTTCTTTTTCTCTCTCTTTTTCTCCTTTCTAGAGATTTCCTGAATTGCAACAATCGCGGACAACTTGGTGAGTATCGAATCAGATCCTTCTTTTTTTTTTTGTTTTTGTTTTTTATATTTCCATCACGATTCGTATCGCTTTTTCTTTTTTTAACACAGATGGTTTCCTGAACGAATTCAAGAAGAATTAAAGACCCGCGAACGTGCACTCGAGCTCTACCGGAAGGATTTGGTAGGTACCAGGAATTTTAAACTTTTGTCCCGGAAAACGACGATTATTCTAAAAGCCCGCGAAATTCAAATGGTTGATAATTTTGGAAGGGATTTGGAAATGATAACACTAGTCCAGTTCTGCTCAGGAATGAAACCTTTAATTTTTTATCATAATTTCAGCGCTTGAAATCCTACAATTCCACTGATACGCATGTTTCTCCTCTAGAAGTCCGATTTTGCGAATGGACTTTGTTTTCCAAAAGAAAAACTTTGTCCCTCGAAACGTCGGGTATGATAAGAAGACTCTCGAAAGACTCGATCAACGATAAAATATCTCTGGAGAGACTTAGCCGCAATAAGATAACCCAAAAAAGTATTTGAAGAACTATGATCATAAAATAGAGAGATATGGTAGTTTTAATTTATTTAAATATATCCATTATACAATTGTAAGCGAGTATTAAATGTACGGTCTCTTGCAAGAGAACTGGAGGAAGCAGCAAAGCGCGGAGCTTGGTTTTCAACCCCGATTCTAACCTCACCGACGACCTTGCAACTTGAGCGTACTACTTCACCTTGTCCTCTTTTTTTCCGCGACAAATCTGACCACGGAAGAAATCTACCCCTTTACCCGCGAAACGAGCGGAAAGTAAGAAGCGATTCTACGTCTCAGTGGAATTGGATCGCCGTCGGTTAAGCCGAGTATCCACCTGTATCAAACGCCCGTATCGTATCACCGTTCCGAACCCTTTTGAATAGGCAGACGTTGCCTCGTTGCATGCCACGGCGTGCTACGGCTCGGACAATATTTCTTCGTTTCTTGAAAGAAACTCCTATAGGCGAGAAGTTTCGATTTCCTGCATGCTGTTTCTTTATTGTAATTGTCCTAACCATATCGTGTTTGGTATCATTTTAATCAGAAAAACGTCACAAATATCTTGGTAAAAGTTTTATAAGAAAAAAATGAAAAATAACAAAGTTCAGTCATTGCATTAGTATTATCTCACTGATATATCCGATTCCAGATCATATTATCTCGAGCCTCAAGTGTCATGTTTCCACTTGACATAGCATTTCGGGCCTTCGCCTGGGTATGTTGTTTTTACGTTTCAAGTGGTCTCCGAACCTATCCTTTGAACAGCAAGAAACCGACAATTTTCGGATCGGCCCGTTCCTTCACCTCCGTATCACAACCCAATAGAACTTTCGATACTTGGCAACGGAAAAATCTCTGGAAAATTAACATTGTCCTTTTTCAATAATCACAGAGGTTCTTATTAACATTGCTCTTTTATGTACAGCGTATCACCGAAGATAATTGATCTGTTTAAATATATTTAGACGATAAAATTTGTCTAAATTAAATTAGATTAAGTTCATAAATAATTTCATCGATTTTGAAATGAATCCAATAATACCGCAAGATTTCAAATAAATTGAAACCCAAGTGACGGCACGAAACGCTATCTCAAGTGCAAATGCATAAACCTTTCCTTCGATGCAATTTTTCGGATAGGTCCGTTGCCTCCGTTCCTTTGGAACGGCACGCAGCAAAACGAAACTCCTCGCCTGTAGTGGCCCAGTCCTATTGCCGAACCGTTTCTATCAAGAAACGAAAAAATATTGTCCGAGCCGTAGCACGCCGTGGCATGCAACGAGGCAACGTCTGCCTATTCAAAAGGGTTCGGAACGGTGATACGATACGGGCGTTGGATACAGGTGGATACTCGGCTTTACGCGATCAACCTGGATATCGATTCGCTTTTGTTCCAAAGATTACTACCTTATATCTCCACCTCCAGCTACCTTATAGAAAGCGACAGAGGCTGTCGAATTCCTTAACAGTAACAAAACGAAGAAATGCCAGAGGTTAACGAAAGTAAAAATAATCTTGGATCAAGTAGGGAAAAAATTTTGAGGTTAACTTAACGATCTTTTTTTTCTCTTTATTTTTCAAAGATTAAAAAATGCACGTGCATGCGTTTTCCAGCAAATATTAGACTCGCATTCTTTTTTATAGGAATTGAGTCAGAAAGATGAAAATAAAAATGTACACACCGAGTGTAGCGTACGTGCGTGATAATTTATCGTTCGCGTGTGCTTGTGAACGCCCCGTGAACTAATTTTCGAGATCCAGAAAAGTATTACCAACGGGTTCTAAATTTATCCACGATACAGCTGACAAATATTCTTTGTAACGCTATAATGTATCACGGCGATGTGTTATATAAATTAGGGAGGGTGGAGCAACCGCTGTGAAATTCTAATGCAATGATATGAAATAATATTTCAGAAGAATGGTAATTTGGTAATGGTAAAATGGTAAAACGGTATAATGGTAATAATGGTAAAATGGTAATAATGGTAAAATGGTAATAATGGTAAAATGGTAATAATGGTAAAATGGTAATAATGGTAAAATGGTAAAATGGTAAAATGGTAAAATGGTAATAATGGTAATAATGGTAAGGTAATTTACTTATAAAGTAAATAAATTCAATGAATGTATAAAATAATGTTAGAAGAGAGGCGATACTTTTGTCTTTAACTTGAGTCCACGCCACTTGATGGTAAGTTCAACTGGCTGTTCTATTTTTTGGGAATAAGTGATGGACGCGAAAAATAGTAAACGGCGCATGCTACGTCGAAGAAGAAAATCCGTGCGTCTGCCAAATACCTGGCGTCAAGAAAGCAGCCGCGGTTTAGCGGCATTTTTCCCCGACTCTGGCAAGCATCCCAGTTTTCACCGGAATATCAGACGCGCAAAACCAATAAGAGAAACGTGTCCTCTTGGATTTCTTCGAAGATCGTATAACAAGTAAAACCATATAATTTTAGACGATAGCAATGGTATTCAATTTCATTAATTGAATTTCAGACACTTTTCTATAATTACGTAACACTCTGATAATGAATAGAGCATTTTAAATAATTTATAAAAAAAAGAAATTTACCTACAATGATATTTTTATTTTTGCTTTTGTTTTTAGAGTAATGTGAAGCATATGAAATTGTGTAGAGATTTTAAGAGGAATTATGGTGACGATATTACAGGTCACCTCTTATGTTTCACAGACACAGCCAATAACGTGGTTACGTAATAATTTAAAGAGTATAATTTAAATTATGTAACTAATTCCACGATATGAACCTGCGACCGCTGAACGCGTGAACCGTGCGTTTTCATTACATTGTCCAATGTGTCCTGAACGGTGTTAAGTATCATTTAATACAATTGTTTTTAACATGAGGTTATTTCATGAATCCTAAGAAACGTATTGCTTGGAACATTTAAAGGATTACATGGAAAAATTTCCTTTTTTTTGTACATAAAGAGTGTCTGTTCGTTAATTGAACAGAAATCGTTATGATAATATTCATAAATATTAATCCTCTGAGTGTTTACCAGTGCTGCGTCATCGCTTCGTCTACAACTCATAAAAAATTATTCCTCTATTGATTCTAAATTCAGATGACGGTGCGAAGAATACACGTTCGCTTATCTGACTAATGGATCACGTCGATTACATCATATGAATGTGGATTCACACCGACCGGATTATACAGGAGGGCCGACCCTGAGATTTCGGGGGTCCGAGGCGAGCTCCGAAATGGGGCCCCTTCGCATATATGACATGAAAAAAAGGAGCTCAAATAAAATTTATAAAATTAACATTGAAGCTTGTATAACTAATTTAGATTAATATTCAAGTAAACATTACTCTTCTTGCATTCTTAGACGCAAAATCTTATGACGGCCCTGGACCTTGGGACAGGGAGCCCTAGGCAACCGCCTTGCCTGCCTAGGCCCAGGGCCGGCCCTGGAATTATACGTTTACGCAACGCGTCTTCCCTATCGTTTTGCATCTCCAGCCTCGATCGGTAACTTTTGCACATCCATGATGCACTCGGAAGGTAATATCGCGCCTTGGTAAACTTATCGGTAAACTTATCAAGAATCAATCAATCATTCAAGGTCATCGATTGATCTCTCTGTTATCAGTTTATCGATGTTTAATCTTGAAAATAATACAACACTGAAGAAAATTGATTTTAAATAGTCTTTTCTTCAAATTGTGTATTCTTATTTCATAGGTTACTCCAGGGTTTCCCAAACTTTTTCTGCAATGGAACGCTTCGCAAACCCGGAAATTTTAACGAAACGCTTAGTTTATGTTTTAGGTTGGGTAATTCCTACTAATAAAGATTTTTAAAAAATGTTATTGAAACACATTATTTATTTAGTAATTATTATTAAATATAATATAAACATAAAAATATGAATAAACAAAGCAGTTAATGACTTTGAGTCCTTGAATTGCAATCTTCTTGATTCAGGCACAATATTGGTAAGTTGCATTCAAATATCATCCCCCGCCTTTCAATATGAAGTAGAAGATCTTTAAATGTGTTGCAGTGTATAAAACCTTTCCACCTATTCAGGTTCAGCGAAACATAATTTGGGAAACCCTGGATTATTCTATGAAGCAACACGAACATAATGAATTGTCGGTAGATTGAAAAATGGTGTATTGAATGAAATCGGAATTGATGCAATGGAAAGAGAAAGGCTGTTTACGACCCCGTTTTCTTTCAATACACAAGGCGCTGGCGTAAAGGCATGAAAGAAGACGCGTAACGAGTACACGTGCACGTGGCAATGATCCTGGTCGCGTACGACTGCACTTGTAACGCGATTAATAAAATCGATGAGACTCGCTTATAGTACGGAAACATTTGTAAGTCATACGGTACGGGTATGTATAACGTGTCACGTATTACATAACGTAACGACAGGCTACGATGGCTAATCTTGAGGCAACGCTTTATTCCAAGAAAGAGATACCCGAGTAGAGTCTCCGATCGAGTCTCCGCTCGTTTACTAGAGGCAACTGCGATGGAAGGGAAAGAATGACCGATAACGAAAGTCATCGTCGCATGTGCATCGTTTGTTTATCCTCCTGACACTAGGGCGCATATGGAAATCGCCATTTTGCTTTTCCATTCGAAATTTCGTTTATACAGGGTGTCCCAGAACTGGTCGACACCCGAAGAGGGGTTGCTAAGGTGATTCTGAACAACTTTTTCCTTTGCCAAAATGTTGGTTAAGGCTTCGTTTTCGAATTATTAACGAAAAACACTGACCAATCCGAGCGCGTATAGCGCGCGAGCTTAGGGACGGCAGCGTCGGCTACAAAACCAGGGTCTCACTATTGCGCAAAAGTCATCGTCGCATGTGCATCGTTTGTATATCTTCCTGACACTAGGGCGCATATGGAATTCACCATCTTGCTTTTCCATTCGAAATTTCGTTTATACAGGGTGTCCCAGAACTGGTCGACACCCGAAGAGGGATTGCTAAGGTGATTCTGAACAACTTTTTCCTTTGCCAAAATGTTGGTTAAGGCTTCGTTTTCGAATTATTAACGAAAAACAGTGACCAATCCGAGCGCGTATAGCGCGCGGGCTCTGGGACGGCAACGTCGGCTACGAAACCAGGGTCTCACTATTGCGCAAAAGTCATCGTCGCATGTGCATCGTTTGTATATCCTCCTGACACTAGGGCGCATATGGAAATCGCCATCTCGCTTTTCCATTCGAAATTTCGTTTATACAGGGTGTCCCAGACCTGGTCGACACCCGAAGAGGGATTGCTAAGGTGATTCTGAACAATTTTTTCCTTTGCCAAAATGTTGGTTAAGGCTTCGTTTTCGAATTATTAACGAAAAACACTGACCAATCCGAGCGCGTATAGCGCGCGGGCTCGGGGACGGCAGCGTCGGCCACGAAACCCAGGCCTCACTATTGCGCAAATGGCGCAATAAAAAGATTGAACTGGTTGAACATTTTTAGTCGTTGTTTAAAATGAATACGGAACCTAATCTTCTGTCGCCTTTTTTTGACTTTACTGGAGAGGAAATACCTTTATGTACGCACTGGTGCTCTTCCTGTCGCACTATTCGGCTAAGAGGGCCTGGGTAGTGTGGGACTCGTACCACCCACGCCAAAAAACTCGGGGTGGTACCCTAACCACTAAAACCTCTCCCCTGTGTGGGCCGCCGGTACCCTTTCCCCGCTTGAAGTACCCCAGGAGTACCGGCATAAATCTCTTGTCGCCTGTCATAATGTAAAAAAGGAAATTCTGAGCACTCTAAACAACAAATAAAAATAATTGAAATTCAATTTCATCAATGGCGACTGTGGTTTTGTTCCTCAGCTCCTCAATAGTCTTTGGATTATTAGCGTAAATTTCACTTTCCATAAACCCCATAAAAAAATCTAATGGTGTTAAATCAGCCGATCTTGGTGGCAATTGGTGTCTCCTCCTCGTGAAAAATTACTCGTTCGTTAAAATGATATTGTTTTTCATAAAATAGACTTTGCATTAAAATAAATTAACCATACAAAAATCAAATACTTTGCGTTTTATTTCAATCTGAAGATGTGGCACTCAACTTGGATAACCCTATAGTATTTGAATGCCCTCATTACTATAGCCTCTTAGAAAGATATTAGCGTGATTCTTGCCACACGAGAGTCAAATGCAATAATGGTAGCGGTAAAAATGGTATAATCCAATTAATGATCACTAATCAAAGTTGATTGCAAAACTGCAAGCAGCTGTACTACGGTTGGCTAACGCACCGAGGGTATTGTAATTGTGCGTTATATACACTGCCAACTACGGGCATTCTCCCTTCCAATCCACCCGTTTTAAATAGGATTTCAAATTAATAAATATCATTTCCCGTTTTCTACGTTTGTTCAATTTACACAAAATACGTAACTCCGGTCTATTCCTCATTCTTATCTCTTTCCATGGAAGATTCGCGTACGTATTTCAATGTGTCGGTATATATCAATCGCACCAGGTATCTGATCAATTTATCAGAGTATGATCGCGCGAAAGGGAAAAATATTTCTATCGAACCATTTTGTAACCTAACCCCGTTTTTCAGGAGGATCAGAATCCGAGAAAGAGACGGAAAAGGTGGAAAAGAGAGAGAGAGCTAGGCACGGAGGTGGGGGGAGAAAAACGCGTTGATTCGGACGGCCTTTGGCATTTCTCACGTTTCAGAGTTTTTAACAACTCGCGTCTACCGCAGCGAGTCGCAATTCGCGTTCCCAGAGGGGAGGAATAAAAGGAAATACTCACGGCCTGGTGCCAACGAAAGCAGAGTATTTTCTTTTTCACTTGATCATTCGTGGAGGTCTACACGATGTCACAACGCTCGGTGTTACGAGCTCCATAGCGTTCCACGTTCATTTCGTAGGCGTACAATTTCGGTAGCTTTTTATGGCGAGGAAAAAGGAAGGAAAGACCGCGGCGTGTCGCGAACCGTGCACGGCAGGAAAGCACGGGCCATCCCACGGAACTGTCCGGGTGACGTCACCGCGACGAATTGCACGGGAGTTTCGAAGCGGCTTGAGGTGAGGAGATAGTCGCACGACGCTCCGAGAGCCTCGAGAACACGGATCGATTTACGGGCACGTTTGCGTCGATCAGGATGAATTTGAATAATCCTTACGCAATTTGTCCCCAACGTGTTATTCGACCTGTACAACTCGGCTATTTACCTTTCGTTCGACACACTTCCCCTCGTGACAAACACACTCGATACCGTCGCGAGATTATTTCACTACTGACTTTCTCGATGCAACGTGCGCGCAAACAATATGGCGTTTATAAGCTTGCCGATTTCCGCGTTGACAGTCATCGCTTCCGCGACTACCGCATTCTGCGCTAGCGCAGAACAAAATGTCGCCTCGGCTTGCCCCTAGGGTGGAACGTACGTCGCAGTGCTGCCACCATACGCGACACGCGCCGCTTCGCAACGACCAATCACCTGCTAGGAACGAAAATCTTTGATATTTAAATTTCATCGATTAGATTCGTTATTATAATAGTAAGAGAAGCAACGAGGTACAGTAACGGTATAAAATTAAAAATTTGTTAATTTTTATACAACTGTATGAACAATAGTTTCATAGAAAACATGTATGAAACATTTTATTTTTAATTTGGATTAATCGTCTTGGTTGCATTGTTTTTCAACGTATTCAGCAGCCATTTGTTGAACTCGTGATATATCTTCTTGAGTACCGTGCTGTTCCTCAAAACTGATGAATTTTTTGAATAAAGATCGCATCTTTCTTGGTGGCAATGTTTGAACAACCGCTCGCTCCAGAATTTTCCTGTAAACATAACAGCTTTTCTTTATGTAAATGCAGGGCCGGCCTTAGGATTTTAGGGTTCCGAGGCGAGCTCCGAAATAGGGCCCCTTCGCAAAAAAAATAGCTTAAATAAAATTTATAAAATTAACATTAAGGCTTGTATAACTAATTTAGATTTGCATTTGCATCATCTTATAGGGGCCCTGGACCTTGGGGGGCCTAGGCCCAGGGCCGGCCCTGCCTTTCAAAGCATCATTAATAATTGCAATTTTAGATTTAGAATAATTGCAATATGGCCTTTCAACACTGCCGGCCCTGAGATTTCGGAGGTCCTAGGGGCCCCTTCACATATATGACATAAAAAAAAGTAGCTCAAATAAAATTTATAAAATTATAAAATTAAAGCTTGTATAACTAATTTAGATTTGCATTTACATAAATTAATATTCAAATAAACAATCTTGCATTCTTAGACGTAAAATCGTCTTATAGGGGCCCTGGACCTTGGGGGGCCCTTAGCGGCCGCCTAGTCTGCCTAGGCCTAGGGCCGGCCCTGTGTAAATGTTCTATGAAGAAGACAAGAAATATTAAAAAATTCTTCTCACCTGGCTATATCGATATCGTTAGATTTAACTAAAGAATCGACATAACACGACCATATGTCGACACGCTTTGGATATGAACTCAAAATTTGCTCAAAAAGAGTCTGAGCTCTTTCTTTATCTCCAAGTTTATTTTCCAGCGTAGCAAACCTTGCCATTAGATTCACATCTGTACAAATATTATATTAAAACCACCAGGTCACTTCATTATTCTTATAATAAATTTACTTTTTTTTCTTAATATATACTTACGCTCAGATGCTGGTAAAGATTGCAATGCTCGTTGCATAATGTGTCTAGATTTATCTTTCAAACCCATCTTTAACAACGCAGCTCCACAGTCAATCCATACTTGAGGATTTTGTTTAAACTTCCCAATCATGGTATTAATTATTTTCTCTAATTCAAACTGCCTACCAGCCTCAAGGTGTACGGTTAACATGTGGCTGTACACTTTCAACGCATCGTTGCTCCTTACAGCCTCTTGAAAAACGCTGTTCAAGGATTCCGGAGTACCAAACTTTGATTCCAAATTCAACCAAGCGTTCCATACATTTAATCTCTCATTCTCCTCTCTGAAGCTTATAGTTTTTACAGCCTTTCTAGCCACCGCTCTGGCTTTGTCTATCTCAGTTGATTGTAAATGATACGCCATGTATTGCAGCCAAATGATTGAACTGTCCGGACTGGCTAAAACTAATCTGTCAAATTGATCTACAGACTTTGGCAATTGATTACTAGCTAATACCTCCTCCCTTTCACGAATTTCACGCTCCTTTTGCCTCTCCATTTCTCTGTTTTCAGCAGCGCTTAGTTTCTTTTTTTTCTGCTTTGGTTGTTTCTCTGTCTCATCCTCACTGTCGCTGGATGATTGCTTAGCAAGCAAATCTAAATTTGGTTTATCGTCCCAAAAGAATCCACATTCAGGTATTCTTGGCTTTTCATCATCTTTATCGTAGTCATCAGTTATAATATTTATAGGGGGTTTAACATCTTGTTTTATTTTCTTCAATTTCTTATCCCTTTTCTGTTTAACATTTTTGGAGGGTTCATCTATTTCTTCTGAATTTTCTTCTTTTTCTGCTTTAGCTTTTTTCTTTTTATTTAAAGGTTTAACATCTGGCGCAGCCTTTTCAGATTTCTTTACTTTCTTCGCAGGAACCTCTTCGCTTTCTGAATTCATTTTTTTCCTCTTCAATTTATTAGCAGCTGGTTTTGTTTCTATATTGAGCTTCTCCTCGAATGCTGATTTCACCATACAAATGGGCATAACGTCCGATTCATTGGGATTCGATACAATGTAACACCTGATCTTTGAATGAACAATGTAGGGTGACAAATCTGGCCGGACATCATTCACGTGGCGTTTCACAGGCATCGCTGCCAAAGATCCTTTACCATGACCTTTCAAGACTATTAATACAAACCAGTTTGTCACCATTAAAATCTTACCCCTTATTAATTTATCTTGAGGTATCTCCCGGTGCTTATCTTGTTGCTCGTTTATGCTTTTCATCACTGCAGGTATCATGGTCAATTCAACAAGTTCATGGACGTAATTCTTCCACATAACCGTCCCAGAAACCGTGTCTCCCACTTTTCGATTCCCAGAATAATGATTCTTCGATACTATACCCAGCAAGTTGTTTTCTAATTTCACTACCAGACCATCAGCTGTGATTATGTCAACCTTTCCAGTAACCTTCTGTCCTAATAACACTGAAGAAATTGGCCTGTTGCTATAAAATGGATTTCTCGCCAATTCAGTTAATTTATTGAAATGCAAAGTCAGAGTATCCACTGCTGTCATTATTTTGCTGTGAAGATCCGGTAATCCATCAAACAACTTCTTCAAGGATAACGTTAGATTCACTTGTTTCTCTTTCCTGTTGATGGAAATGACCTTCGCAAACAAAATTTGATGCACCTGAAGCAAATGAAAATTACTGACGTTGCTGTAAGAGACATATCCAAACGGTGTGCACCCTGCGACTGGTAGAATGACTCTCATACCATTCGGTTCTATATCTTTAACAGAGCATGGTATACAATCTCCTATTTTCAATTGTTCGAAGCTCCTGTATTTTTCTTGAGTCAGAAAGGTTCTTGTTAAAATTAAACTTGGCACTGTAGCAAATACCAGAGCGGAAAGGGTATCTCCAGGAATGCTTTTTGACGCCAACAAAGTTGCTGTCTCCGTACAGGGTGACATGTGCCCTGCTGGTAAAAATCCAGTACTAACATCTTGTCCATCATTTTTACTGATTCTCAAGTATACTCCCTGAGTAGATGATTCAATAATTGTTCCTTCTACGCGTTCACCTATGGTAAACACATTTTCTTTCTTTTTCTTCTCTTTGGTAGGTACAGACAGGATTATCTTTCCCAAATTTTCGTTCACTGAATCTATCAGCACTAAAATTGTTTGTCCAATAGAATAATTCCAATTCCCTTCAGACGTTTCGGTATTCAATGCAGTTCGAGGCACCCAGCCTTTGACATTGCTAAAAAATTTCACCAGTAATCCACCTTTACTTATTTGAACGACAGTGCCATGGTACCTTGATCCACGTTTTGCATCTTTTATGTCACTTAAAACAGGCAAATTGCTGGTTAATAAGGACTTTTTAAAAGTAAAATGCACCTTCTTTCGTGCGGTATCGACGTCCAAGACTCTTGCTTCCACTTCTTTGTCTGTTTTTAATTTCTTTAAGGCACTTGCACCTTCGTCGGACACGTGTTCCGGTGCTACTTGTCCATTAATCTTACCAACTTGTACGTTAACGAAGCCAGACTCTGCATTGATACTTGTGATTCTTACGTTCACAACATCACCTGGCTTGAAGTCAGACACTGAAAAATATTTCTGTTCTAATAACGAATGTTCCATTGTGCAAATGTACATAGCATCCATCCAACTGTACGATAACACTCTGCATTTGTGTTTAGTACCAGGTACAAATTTTTCAATGATCTGATCGTAATTCACCTCTGTTCTTTTCAGAGGAACAAATCCCTTTGTTCCATTCTTGGTTAACTGCAATGCAATTCCACCAGATTCTCTGAATAAAGTAGTTGCATCGTCTATGACATGCCCAGGTTGAATAGCATCTACGTTTCTACGTTTCTTTATCAATAAACTGAAATATCCAAATTTTACAGTTGGTAAAATGTACAACATTGTGCCAGTAATTTCCATTCCTGCTATGTACTTAGATAAAGGCTCATTTAAATACAGTTGATTGATGTACCCTATGTGGCTACTACCAAATGAAACGTACAGTCCATTGGATAATACCTTTTTTACAGAGAGTTCAAATTTTGTGCCTGGCATCAAACTGTCCAGAGATTTGATTTCAGTGTCATTTTGAACTGCAGCATGTTTCTGTTTTGTAGATAATTTAATTGTTGAAGTATTTTCATTCGTTTCAATTTCTTCTATGGTACATAACAACTGTTTTCCTGGATCTAATGAAATTTATATCTACATTTAATGAAATATTATTCACCATTGGTTGTATAATAGGTGTAAAAATTTACTTACACAAGGATTTATCATTATTTTTTGGCACAGGTATAAATGCTCTTACGTTATTTAAGCCTGTATCTACAACGTATCCATGATCTTCTATGCTACTGATAGTACATAACATTCTTGAGCCATCCTCCAAATAAGCGACGTCCACGTTTTGATTTATCAGCCTAGGATCAAGGGATAAGGCAATCTGCCACTTTTCTTGAGGTTGTATGCTTTTCACATAACACACAACATAATCCCCGCATG